CCCCTTCCCCAGGCTGGCCAGGCCCCCCAGCAGGACCCCCACCCAGATCTGGGACACCCTTTAGGGCAAACCGGCCGGCACCCACCCGTGCACCAGGTCTCTATCCTATATAGTAAAAGGTTAATATGCAAACTGACCCTAACAGCAGAAAGACTGGGAATGACTGGTCACGATAACACACACTGACCACCAGGGAGCAGATGCTCAATGCAAGAGCTGCCCTCTGGTGGGCAGTGTGCTCCCACATGGGGGAGCTCTGCTCAGCCACAAGCCAGGCTGATGGCTGCCAGCACAGCGGTGGTGGTGGGGCCTCTCCTGCCTCCTCAGCAGTGCTAAGGATGTCCAACTGCAGCTTAGGCCTGCTCCCCCCTGGCAAGTGGACATCACCTAAGAGCTGCCAGGCTGCTATAAGGATGTCTGATGGCCATCTTAGGCCTAATCCCCCAGGGACCAGGCCCAAGGGAGCACGTGGTCATCCCCTGAGGGGTCCCAGACTGTGAGAGGGCATAGGCTTGGCTGAGGGATCCCCCACCCCCGAGTGCACAAATTGTTGTGCACCGGGCCTCTAGTCTATAAATAAAGGCATAATATGCTAATTAGACCAGACATCCTTCCAGACAACCTTCCAGATGAAGCTGGGGCTGCAAGGGAAGCCTGGGTTCTAGGTGCCAGAGGGAATCTGGTGCCGACAGCCAGGGGAAGGAAGGCCTACTCTTGCATGAATTTCATGCATCAGGCCTCTACTAGGTTAAATAAAGATGATTACATCATAACCTGAAAGAAGTTATGTTACCATGTTTATGGAAATGTTTATAAATACCAAGGTCTCCTGGATCTTGAGCTCCGAAAGCAACAAAGTTTCAGTTATAGAAGCTAAACAAACCCCAGATACCTGCTTTCAGCAGGCCATGGCCTCAGAGCTGGAGCAACTAGGAGCCGGCTCTCAGCTCCAATGACAGCAACAAAGTTTCAATTATAGAAGATAAATAAATCCCAGAATAAAAAAAAAAAAAGTAAAAAAGGAGTGGCTGGAGATTCAGTCGCCGGCCAGTCTGAAAACAGCCCTCAGCCCCTCACCCAGACTGGCCAGGCACCCCAGTGGGGACCCCCATCCTAAAGGGGGTGTGGCCAGCCTGAAAACAGCCATCAGCCCCTCATCGAGGCTGGTCAGGCACCCCAGTTGGGACCCCCCCTGAAGTGGGTGTGACCAGCTGCAAACAGCCATCAGCCCTTCACCCATACTGGCCAGGCACCCAAGCGCGACCCCCACCCTGACCCGGGACACCCTTCAGGGAAAACCAGCCAGCCCCAACCCATGCACCAGACCTCTATCCTATATAATAAAAGGGCAATATGAAAATTGACCCTAACAGCAGAATGACTGGGAATGACTGGTCACTATGACACACACTGACTGCCTAAGGGAGCAGGTAGTCATCACCTGAGGGGTCCCAGACTATGAGAGGGTACAGGCCGGGCTGAGAGACCCCCCTTCCCCGCCACGAGTGCACAAATTTTTGTGCACTGGCCTCTAGTCTATCTATAAATAATAAAGACATAATATGCTAATTAGAACAGACATCCTTCCAGTCAACCTTCCAGATGAAGCTGGGGCTGCAAGGGAAGCCCGGGTTCTGGGTGCCAGCGGGAATTTGGTGCTGATAGCCAGGGGAAGGAAGGCCTACTCTTGCATGAATTTCATGCATCAGGCCTCTACTAGGTTAAATAAAAATGATTACATCATAACCTGAAAGAAGTTATGTTACCATGTTTAAGGAAATGTTTATAAATACCAAGGTCTCCTGAATCTTGAATCAAATTAAGCATCAACAAGGCTAGGACTTTATCACGGTATAGAAAGAAAAGTCCATGACTGGATTTCGGTGAATATTTTTGCTTACACTGTTTCAGAAAGCTATTTTCCCCACATCCTACCATGTGATTCTCCCTCTGAATGGAAACTTCTACCAGGTTTCTCCTAGATTGTATTAAGAGCTTGTTTTTGGTTCTGGACTTTCTCACTCAATTACTATAGTAATTCTGAAACTCTTTTATCAATTAAAGCTATCCCCTCACATGACTAATCAGAATAAGTGTTCTGACTTTATTAGGAATCTTTGTACAAAAATATTCTTTTAATGCAAAAGTTAAAAAACATGAAAATCACCTATTTTACCATTAATATACACTAAACTCTTATGCTAACAGTCACTTCATGCCTTGCACTGATTTATATCCTAGACATCCTCTAATAAAAATGTAATCTATGAGTCCCCAAACTACTAATGAAACTTGGCTGAAGGATGTGGGGAACTGTCTTTTGAGTAAGTTCTCTGCTCAAAAAGTTGTCTTTTTTTTCTCCAAAATTATAAACTTTTACTTGTTTGGAAGCCAAATAATTTAACACTTTACATGGATGCAGTCTTTAACACACACTAGAAATAAAATTCTAACACTCAGAGTTCTTTGGTCAGAAATCAATCTGACTCAAGATGGTAATGAGTTTACCATTCTTGGAAGTATTTGAACAAATATTTGACAGCCAAATTAAAGGATAAAATAAATTAAAGAAATTTCTCTCTTCAGCTAGAATACTTGATTTTTGAAGTCCTTATTCTCTGTGTTATTGCTGGACTCCAATGGCGTTCTTTTTTCTTAGCTTTAAAATGATTAAAGCTACTGCTGGGATTTGCCCTACATCTTTCAATATATCTCTGTACAGGGAATGATGTCTAATCCCAGCCATATATTAAGTTTACTAAAAAAATCACTCAATACTAAACTTTGCCATATATTTCTGTGTCTTGCCTTTCCTGAAAACTGATTCTAACTTCTAAATACCCCATATAAAACTAAAACCAAAGGTCAACAAGAATTTAAAGATATGAGGGCAACCCCACCTCCACAAAATGACCCTTTAAAATAGATATATATTTTTTTATTGGTTTCAGAGAGGAAGGGAGAAGGAGAGAGAAATTTCTTAGAAACATCAATGATGAGAGAGAATCATTGATCGGCTGCCCTCTGCATACCCCCTACTGGGGGTCGAGCCTACAAGCCAGGCTTGAGCCCTTGGACAAAATGGAACCTGGGACCCTCAGTCCGCACGCTGAGGCTCTATCCACTGAGCCAAGCCGGCCAGGGCCAACATGTCCCCTTTAACATACCCTAGATTCCTAATTGTTATATCTCCTTTCTTTTTCTTTCAGGTTCCCAGTTCTCAATGAAAAAGGTTTGCATGATGCGTATTTTACCAGAAACATTTATAAGCATGTCTACTATAACCATCTTAATTTTATTACCACATTTTTGGATGAAGAAACTTTTCCTAAACAGATAATGTGGGTACTCTGGGGGGATGGGGAGTTATATCTGTCTTATTTTAAAGTACTCTGGTTTATTTATCAATGATGCGATTCCTTCCCTTAGATAATTACAAATGCAGATAAAAACATCAAACTGAGTGGCATTTCAGAGATAGTCTACTTCCATATTCTTTGTTGAATTCTAGGTATCAGCCAGATTCTCACATTGCTTGGAACTACTTTCAATAAAATTTCATTTCTTTAACACCTTATGGTTCATTTGTTCTATGATAAATGTCATTTATGTTAATTAAACAAAATAAAGTATGAAATGCTTATGATGTGACAACATGTTCATATAAAAATAAAATATTCTCTATGGTATATACATGTATAGATATGTATATGTTCATATAAAATAAATGGGGAGATAATTTAAAACTTATCTTTAACTTTGTTATCTGAATAGAACTGAGAAGAGACAAAAAAAGAAAATAAGTTTTTGTTTTTTATCAATGTGTATTATTTGACTTGTATGAGCATTCATTGCATTTTGAATATAATTTTTAAACTACTAAAATAGAAAAGCACACTTCTATATCTAGCAATATGAAACACTCCTTCCTCCAACAACACTCACCTTCATCCAAATACATCCAAAAGCACCAAAAATAACATCAAAAATAAAACACTTAAGAATATTAAATTTAAGAAATAATTGTAATTATATAGCAGACATAGATGAAATCCTTTGAAATAAAATAAAGGAGGAAACTTAACATCAGAGTGGTGATCAAAAGCTAATAATTTGGCAAGAATTAGATGTAGACAGGCATACAGATCTCTCTAAGCAAGAGATCTGGGTCTTTACAGTCTTACAAAACAAGAAACTAGGTCTTCAACTGTATTAAATACAGTATGATAATTGCCAGAGGGAAGTATATGGTGACAGAAGAAGATTTGACTTTGGATGGTGGATACACAATGCAATATACAGGTGATGTATCATAGAATTGCATACTTGAAACCTAAAAATTTATTAACCAATGCCGCCTCAATAAATGTAATAAAAAAAGAAAATTAAAATAGTTTTTAATTTTTAAATTTTACATGTAGGTATATGGCTTAGAGAAATCCCTAACAGCTGTACAAAAAGATATAGAATAATTTTCAGCAGCACTGCATGCTTTAGCAAAAATAGGAAGTTGAAAATAGTAAATAAATTATTATATGCTAATCTGACATGAAGTTAAAAAATGGCCCTAAATAAAGTTTATAGTAGATATATCTTAACAACACTATAAAATATATTACCAATTATCATGTGAATAGATGAGATTCTGGAAGAGGCAGCTAGCACAATATGTGCAAACTTAGACTTAGAGGAGAAATTTAATTTCATTAATATTAAATATTATCATCTTGAAATAGTTTCAAATTATTTTTTAGACTAATGACATTGATGTATAGGTAAAATATCTCTGTAATACCTAAATAAATATTTTATAAGTTGTACTTACACTAATATTTATTTTTAGTTGTTAAAACTTTCAGGTCAGGTAAAAACTAATGAATAGAGTAGTAAAGAATGTAAATTACGAAATTATGGGTAAAATTACAATGTCATGGTGTCCTATTATCATTGTAAAAAATTCAGTATACCAATTAATTTAGATTTTTTAATACTAATTTTAAATAGCAAAACGTCTAATGGCATCTCTAACATAATTCAGTTTGAATGGAATTATTTGAACAAATTGAAGAAAAATGTGTACTGAAAAAAATTCAATCTGTTTCAAAGAGAACACAAATAATGATAAGCAACAAGAGACAGAAGTTGAAACAAACAGAAAAATAAAGCGAGGTGGCAGAGTAAACCTAAATATTTTTATAATCACAATAAATTTAAATAGACTAAGCACTCCATTTAAACCTAAAGAGTAGATTTTTAAAAGTTAGCAATATATCATGTATATGAGAGCTAATTAAAAAGGAAGCCTAGAGAAGTTTAATCATAAAAATCTAGGAAAAAAAGTTATAACCAAATAATAATTATATAAAAACTGATATAGTTAGATAATACTAAGTAACACAATAAACAAAATACAAGAAATAAAGAACTGCAATACCTAATGATGACATCTCATTCTTTCAAAGCATAAATGAAACACTAATAAACAATGAGCATATAATGTAATTTAAACTCCAAAACTTTAAATAATAACTATTATGCAAGCCATACTCTCTGATAACACTGAGATTTAATTGAACATTTTTTTTGAAATTTAAAAACCATCTTTTAAATAATACACAAATCTATCTTATTTATAAAAATGACACCCTAAAGGGAATAAGAAAATGTCAGGTGCAGACTAGCTTATAAACCTAACTATTTCTCACATAATCTCTGTATATATAAAAGCCTAAGTGACTGTTACAGCCGAACGACCGGAACAACCAGTCGACCAGTCGCTATGACACACACTGACCACCAGGGGGCAGATGTTCAATGCAGGAGCTGCCCCCTGATGGTCAGTGCACTTCCACAGCCAACCTCCCATGGCCAGCCAACCTCACACAGTCCCATCCCGTGGCCGGCCAACCTCCCATGATACCTCCCCCCTGTGCCGGTCCCTCCCACAGCTGGCCTGCTCTGATCTCCCCCCCAATTGGGACTGGCTGGTCAACCTCCTGAGGTCCCTCCCCAACAGCTTCCAGCCAATGTTATGCAGACCCTCCCCCTGGCCAACGGCCAATGTCCCATGGTCCCTCTCTCCATCCCTCGCCCCAGCCAGTAAGCCCCGATCAGCCCTACTCAGAACTGTGTGAGATGGCCCTAATCGTCCCTGATTGCTGGCCAGACCAAGGAACCCCACCCATGCACAAATTCATGCACTGGGTCTCTAGTAATGTATAAATTATATAGCTGAATCAAAATTTACTGGACAACATTTTAAAGAAAACTAAGTGATAATGTGTCCTAATGAGAAAAGACATAAAAAGGATTGGATAAAATGTGATGAATGTTGAATATAGGCAAAGGAGAGCCAACAATGTATAATAGCAGAACCTGAAACCAGAAGAAAACAGAACAAATACTAGAAACTGTAATTCAATAAAAAATTCCTGAAGTAAAAAAGCACAGTTGGTGACATTAATTCATCAAGCATACTGTAGATAGAACACAACTCCAAAACAACCAAATGCAAGACATATTCTATTAAAATTACTAGACATTACAGTAAAAGAAAAAAATTCTCTGTAGATCTAGGAAAAAAGAAAATGCTTTAAGTTTGCTAGACATTGGTGATATTAGGAAGTATGCCTGATAAATCACAAAACTGTCAAATGATTTACATATCAATTAAAAAGAGAGAATAATAAAAAAAGAGAAATGACACCTTACATATAATGAAAAGAAAATCATATTTTGATTGGATTTTTCAATAGCAATTGATGCTGTTATAATAACCTGGTTATCTATTTATATAAAAACCCTGGGTGTAACGTCACGACCTAGGCTTGACCAACTAGAAGGAAGTCAGTCCTGCAGGGGTCATCTTAGAAATGGCTGCCCCCTCCCAGAGCTGTTTCCCACGAGGGTGGTGAGGTTTCAGGCAGGAACCCACCCTCAGAGCATGGCCACACTGGGTCCTGGGTCCTCTTAGAAACAGCTGCACCCTCCCTGAGCTGTTTTCATTAAGGGAGAGGTTTGAGGCAGGAACCAGCCCTCAGAGTGTGGAGGCATATCTTTATAAAGTTTTAATACATTATATTAGAGGTCATGGTAGTACTGTTTTACCCAGAGTATCTACAGGAATTGCTGCAAATTTACTTCTCGGTGGAAGAACCTTTCATTCCCAATATAAATTACCCATTCCACTAAATGAAGCTTTCTCAACCTGTGGGTCGCGACCCCTTTGGGGGTCGAATGACCCTTTCACAAGGGTCGCCTAAGACCATCAGAAAACACATATATAATTACATATAAATGGATCTATTATTGAAGCTACCTTTGGAAATACTGTATCTGTAGATAATATTAAAAATATATCTAAACGTGCAATTCTTTGTCCAAAAAATGAGCATGTTCAAAAATTAAATGAAGAAATTTTGGATATACTTGATGGAGATTTTCACACATATGTGAGTGTTGATTCCATTGATTCCACAGATAATGCTGAAAAGGAAAATTTTCCCATCAAATTTCTTAATAGTATTACTCCTTTGGGAAAGCCATGTCATAAGTTAAAATTAATTATTTCCAAAAAAGTAATGCAATCATCATGCTATTGAGAAATCTTAATAGTAAATGGGGTGTTTATAATGGTACCAGATTTATTATCAAAAGATTACAACCTAACATTATTGAAGCTGAAGAATTAACAGGATCTGCAGAGGGAGAGGTTGTTCTGATTCCAAGAATTGATTTGTCCCCATCTGACACTTGCCTCCCATTTAAATTGATTCAATGACAGTTTTCCATGATGCCAGCATTTGTGATGACTATTAACAAATCACAAGGACAAACTCTAGACAGAGTAGGCATATTCCTACCTGAATCTGTTTTTGCACATGGTCAGTTATATGTTGCTTTATCTCAAGTTTGAAGAGCATGTTAAAGTTAAAGTTATAAATACTTCAGCATAAGGGAAATTAGTCAAGCACTCTGAAAATGTTTTCACTCTTAATGTGGTGTACAGGGAGATATTAGGATAAGTTTAATCACTTTATCAGTCATTGTTTGCATCACTATTGTTTTTATATTATGTTTTTGTTTTTATATCATGCCTCTCTTTTTGGTATATCCTTTTGTTACTGTTTATTTATTAATAAATTTATAGATTATTTTGATATACATTTTACTAATTTCCTTTCATCTCTCACATTTCTATTATATAGAAAGGGCTAATAGCAATATTAAAGTATCTCTGCTAATTAATTCCCTTTCTTAAAAAAATATATTTTATTGATTTTTTACAGAGAGGAAGAGAGAGGGAAGGAGAGAGAGAAACATTGATGAGAAAGAAACATCAATCAGCTGCTTTCTGCACACCTCCTACTAGGGATGTGCCAAGGCACATGCCCTTGACCGGAATTCAACCTGGGACGTTTCAGTCCGCAGGCCGATGCTCTATCCACTGAGCCAAACCAGTTAGGGCGAGGTATAATTTCTATACAGTAAGTTTTGCCCTTTCTCAATGTATAGTTTAAATTTTGACAAATAAATAAGTAACAGATATGAAATGCCAAAGAGAAGA